CGTTTTTGAGCAATTGTATTAGCCGCGAGAGCCATATAAAATAACTGATTTCTTAAACGTATTTCCTGCGCAACCGCTCATAAGTTGTTGACAGATCGATCGATTGGTCTTATTGACCTCCTGTGCATTTCCATTTTCAAATCGGTGAGTGTTATACGCTTATATCAGTATATGCCCTGCTCACTTAGTAATATATGGACGCACACTGTTGCTCACCTATACGTCTTGCCCTGCGGTCAATTCTTCTTCTTAAATAATACCTCAGGCTGCGTTTTCTATCTTTCCACCAAGATCATTGTAGCTAAACCTTTTGTCGCCACCAACAAGTCGTACAACGATTTAACATTATCCCCTAACATGCTTGATTAAGTTGCCAAACTCATTTATAACTGAATTTATGAAGACACTACGTTATCCCCGATAGCCTTCTCCTTTTATAGTAACAAGTCTTTCAAATTGCGCCTACTGCCGAAGTCCTTCTTTCGCGCCTGTAGTGATTGTATTTTGTAAAATTCGTCCGCATTTCGTGCCATGCTAGATCATAAAGTATAACTTGTGCATAAGCAATTTTTAAAATGAGGCAAATGATAAAAATTGAGTAGAGCTATTCCTAGACGCCCCATTAGATACTACATGTGCCCTGTGTGTTTGTGCCCTGAAGCTTTTCAGCAAATTTGGGATACCGTTATGAAGTTTATGGCTACCGGTACGAAGTGGTGAGTGGAAGGCAAAACTTGGGTGTGTAGAGTAATACTTTCAGAAAAACCTCAGCTCTCACACCTTAGTTCCATCCATGTAGAAACATCTTTGGGCTCATAACAAGCAATCACAGCTTAAAGTCCGGGCAATACTGCATTTATGGCTTCTCATTTTCTGATCTACTCTCGCCGTAAATCCTGGTGCGGCGTACCTTGTCTTAATGCTGGAAGCGTTCCGACCATCCATTGGAGAACGTGATGGTGTCATCAGGTAAGCTAAGTCTTTCCGACTGCACCTGGGCCTTAATTCGATTATTTCCACGATCAGTAAAACCTTCCTTGCTCGGCATTAGAGCAAATAAAATGAAAGGTCTTCCCCAGATTTAATTTTTGAGCGAAGCTTGAGTTTTGGCTGGAATACATATCGTTCATAGATTCCAGATCAGTGCGCTTCATCGCATTATAAGATATCGAGTTTCGGGTGATCTGAACTCCAGACTCGCTACAAACCAAATTTGCAGAATAGTTTGGCCCATGTTTTGTATTAGTGGCCTTGTGCTGGCAAATCTCGAGCCTTCGTTCATCGTTAGAGTACTTGGTACATAAGTATACAAATTCAAAATAGAAAACTGCTAGTTTACTGGATTTTCCTTTTCACTAAAAAATCGGAATTTCGCGAAGCTCATAACTCGGCTAGGTCATGTAATTTGTATCCATTAAGCCTTTGAGTTATCCGAGGAATGGCTGTATATATGTGTATATCTACATTACAATGATCGACATGGTAATGGCGACATGTTGCAATTAAAGCGGGGTCTTTTTTAAAGCTTATGCTCCAGGTACAACTTTTTCTCTCTCTGTGCTATCTCCTAAAACATAGAATATCTTAACGACGTTATGTTCTATTCGAAATTAAGTACAGGTGCATTGTTGTCTACAGGTATACATACTGCACATATTTATATAAATTTCAACAATTACAATGGTGGGTGGGTGCACCCATACTTTATCTTCCTTCCCCTTTGATTCTTGCCATGATCAACGCCTGATACAACATCGAGCATGGCTTGATCTAAATCCTTCTCCCCCAAGTGGCACTTGCTCGACTCATACACGTGGTACAAGTTGATACGCACAATGTCAAGGACGACACTTCACATATGAGCCATCAGCTCTTGCTCATTCTACAATGTGACACTCAGCAGATGATTCGACGTGGTAAGCGTTAAGATAAACACTTTCCTCCATTTCCATATAAAGGTAGGTCAAAACTGAACCAAAATAAACATCCATCAGGTGTGCAAATTGTCAGCAGATACATCGTAAAGCTTCAAACCACAAGTAACGATTCCCGTATACACTTTTGCGAGCTTGATTTACTCTAATCTTGTGGCAGAAGATGTAGCAGAGCTGTACAGCTCTTAGTCAAGGAAGGCTTACGACTCTAGAAGTCACTTAGTTCAACTTAAATAAATTCTTGTAATTTAGCCATTTCTTAATTAGAATGACCGGACAACGAAGACTCGTAGAATATTTATGCTCGCAGGGTGTTTAGTCCTGGTTCAGGGGACATAACGACTCTACGAATCGTACGCACTACGTACTCTAGAGTGCTCGCCACAAGAAGGATATTACTCGTAGCGATCTGCTGACGTCTCATCAAGACACGTGCCAACACGAGATGTAACGAGAAACGGTCCTTTTATTCCCGGACTTTGTCTGTAATACACCCCCTACAACTACCTAATACCTCGGTTTAACTAATTCTCGATGAAATCTTTGGTAACTAAGATACTGATATAGGTACATCAAACTATCATCAGTAGGCGACCGAGGTAATCAACAACAGTTATCAACACAGAAGAACTTGCGGGCTGTGTATCACATACACAAGGTATTTAAATTCCGAGCGGTAAAGGTCTTTGACCACGTTACATTAGGCCTCCACCGCAGACATGCTCGCCTTAATTCTGTGCACAATCAAGCAAGTTTTGCTCTTACAAGATGTTGAGCCCGCCATACTTCCTCAGCTTCATGCAGCTCTCGAGGCACTTCGTGGTCGTGGACGTCCATCACTATATAGGCTTGTCCTAGTTTTCTAAGGAAGGCACGGGTCCCTCTTCTGTTACAGTTTACAGCTCATACAGCATCAAAAGTCCTTAAGTCCTTACCATTAGTTGCTGCGGTGGCTGATGATCCTGCAATCTCCTTAAGGTCCACTTCAAACTCGTACCACATTGTACCAGCAGATTCCTTTTTCGCGCCGACAAACTCATTAAATTCCGGACGACAGATAGTTTTCTTGTGAGCATTCTGCGCTTGCTCTGAATTTGAGGAATCGTAAATTATAGTGGCCAAATTCTAGCTACAGGAATTGTACCACTTTCTGTAATTCGACTTCCGGGCCTCAAAATTTGGCCGGGCTTTAACATTGCGAATGGGGTACTTATACCCACGATTGTGACGAGTTTTTTGCTCTTCTTGCAGTCTTAAACACTGGGAGATGACAGAAGGAATAAAATTAATAGTACAAACAATTATAATTTCTTGACGGTGCGTAATAAGTCCAAGCAAAAATGATGGCCGTCAATCAATTCAGTTATTGGCTTGTACGTGCACATAGGGCATACTTTTCTTATTCGGTGATAGGATTATGTTTGTAGGGGTTAAAACACCAACTATCACATCACGAAAGAACAAATTGTTCTTATTGCACCTTTTGCAAAAAAGCATGTTTTGATTGCCGAATTTCAGCAAACACTTTATAGTTACTATTGGTCATATCAGGATCGACTTGTCAACCGGTGGTCATATTAAATTTAAGAGTCAGACATATTTTAATTAATAAAGCTGAAATAAATCTTGACTTAAAAAGCAAATATGTTTAAATAGCAATGAAAAGTATAATTAATCGCGGTATTGAAAATCAAGCAATTTATTGCTAGATTTTAGTCGGCAAAAAATGTCAAGGAAATCGATTAAAACACAATCACCCTTTTAATGAATACACAACCAAACGCACTGTTCGAAGTAATTATCTTTTATAAATTATTGGAACTTAGAGGTGCACACTGACCCATCGAAACACCCACACCCAGTCAACCTATTTAAATTAATTATCGTTGCGGTTCTCTTTCACTACTAATTATAAGATGCAGAACAAACAGAAAAGTATTACAAAGTATAAGAGCACTGCGATCCGGACCATGACTTCCCTTTCATGCTTGATACTCCCTCCGTTTAAACATGTTTGTCTCTTTCAGAAATTTAATATATAATTTAAATATCAACATAAGCTCATTTGTTAGAGCCAGGTAACCAAATGCACCTCAAATGAATCTAATTTTGTGCTCTTTCAGCTGGTGTTTATCACGGACTTTTTCAGTAGCCGCAAGCTGAGACTTAGCATTGGGGGAACTAATCATTTATGAAAAGTTCGACGCCTTGGTCGATTGCGATTCCTTGTAAGGCACTGCTTGTCGAGTGATAGGGCTTAAACAACAGCTTATAAAAGGCAATACCGCTATTTGTGCCCAGATTTCTAAATCGCCTGTACTAGATCGTTTTTACGTCTTAAATGCCTATTTTAGCTAAAACTCACGCTGATTTACCTCTGTAAAAAATGGAATTATAATCTGATATTATATAGTACTAGTTTAGAGCCTACCATACGATGGCTGGTATGTAAACGCAGTCTTTCTGCCTCTATAAATGTATTCCGAAAAAGCGGACACACAGTATATTACAAAAACGCTCGATTGGGGACAAAGACAATGAAACGGAGGGAGTAGCTGGCGTAAAAAACCAGACTGTAAAACGGTGGCATAGTAGGTATCCCGATGTTAAGACAACTAAAGATCAGCGTATGATCAACGAAAAGTAATCCATTGATGACTTTGCGCTAAAGATACATTGTACGAGCAGAAAGCAGCCCAAACCACGCATTATTGAGTCAATGGTGCGGTTATTCAGGCGCTATCAAAACAACACTACACACGCGACCCCAGTCAGCCGCGTTGCACAAAATTAATCAGCAGCAGCACACTTTGCCAGCTTTCCCAAGAGGGAAAGCAGCAAGTAAAAGCATGTTAAAACACCACACTGAACGCCCATGGAAAATACGATAGTCAGGGCCAGCGTGAATTCAAGCGGTGCTGTTCACTGCAGTATCCGAAGCCACACCGACCGTTTCGCTCAAAAGTGGGTGGTAGGTATTCCACACAGCATCGCAAGTACCTGATGCAATTGCGCCAGTATAAGACGCAAGCAATGCCGGGGTGATCCCGGACATTGTAAGTCCCATCAAGACGTTTCTAAAAACCTCTCCGTGTGGTCTTCGCGCCACTTTATCATGAGAAGCTCCAGTATCCGGGTCAAAAGCAACGGCTTCAGATCCGCCTTTAGAAACGTCAACCCAATCAGTGTGAACATGATTGCTCCAAGCACCCTGCAACCATCGCCACGACATTAGTTTATCAGCAGTCAGTTCCCGTAACTCATTTATTACCCAGTCACATCTACGTACTCGGACACTGGTAGTAAAAACTCGGCACCAGCCAAAAACCTGCCACTCCCAGAACGCGACACTTTGGCTATGGCTCCACCCACAATAATTGTCAGTTACGCCGGACACTTCCCTTGTATACCCAACTTGAGTACCATCGCTGACGTGGGTCCAGCAAAGGGTGCATATCCCAAAAACCACACAATAAAAGCCCTCGCCCAGCAGCAGCAGTAGTCGCAGCCCCAGCGGCACATCTGACGTGGTCTCGGACAGCCTCAAATTGTCTCCAGCGTCCGTCGTCACGTCCCCCGGTTCTGCATCCATTCCCTCCACTCCTTCTTCATCATGATCGTTGCCTCTATCGGCTTCGGGTCCCACTGCAATGTCCGTGGGATGCTTTGGACCGACGTCTGATGATCAGTGGACGATCTCTGGAGACGGCGAGAGGGACGACCGAGAGAAGAGCAGAAACAGGAGAAAGAACGTAACGATCTTGATGATGACTTCGCCGTGATGCATTCAACCGTACGACACCCAGGTGTAGCACTAGCTGGGCTCTTGCGAGAGTAGCAGCATCGTCGGCTTGAGCTATGCATCTCAATTCTGCTTGAGTTTCGTAATCCGTCCTCTAACTTTTAATTCACCTGGTGTCATTTTGCTGCATCTCAGAAGTTGACTGGTCTTTTTTGCTGTATTGCAGAAGGTGAGTGGTCTTTTTTGCTTTATCGCAGAAGCTGGCTAGTCTTTTTTGCTGAATCTCAGAAGCTGATTAGACTCACAGATCAAAATGACAAGTGGCAGTTTTATTTCTTAGCTTAGCTTGCGACGTAGAACCTCACACATCGTCAAGATCATCCATAGGAGCTGAGAGTTTCAATTTGTGATGCAACTATGCAGCAGCATTGGCGCGGATTGAGGTGTCGCCAATCACGCTTTAGTTGTAAGTGTAAGATCTACATACATTAAAATAACAGCGTCTGCTAGTTTTCTCCTACCTCCCCAGTAACTAGTTGACCACGACAATAAGCTCAAGTGGCAACCGCCGCCGTATCCGATCCCTTGGCGGCAAAAATGATTCCCATCAGGGCAATGAAGACGAGCACCGTGAAAATGCAAATGGTTATCAGCTTGATCCGCGAGCATGCACACCAATTCCTGCGCTGCTCTGCCTGCCGCACCTCCTCCAATGCCTTCTCTACGTTGTCCTTGGCCGTGTCGGTGTTTTCCACGATATCCACCACCATCTCCGCTTGGTCCTGCACGAGCCCGTCAATCTCCTGGAAAGCCGCATTCACCTCACGCAGCTGGTGATTGATCTGGATTATGTCGTCCTCTCGCCGCTGCATATCTACACAAGCCAAACAAAAGACCAGTAACACCACGTGTCAACTCCACTTACTCCAGCAAACACAAGCAGAGCGAAAAGAGCGCGCACCATCTTCGTCGTAAATGACCACATTAGCTTGAGCGTAGATCTGGTCTTCACTGTAGTTCGTAAACTCGGCCTCGCCACGTGGCTTAGGTCCATCGCCCCGTGACTTGCGTCCGTCTCCACCTCGAAAACTCTGCGACGAGCGACGGATGAACTCTACCGACTGTCGCTCCGACTCGAGCAGTCGCTCACAGGTTTCTTCAAACACACGTGCCTGGTTCTTAAAGTCAGCCGAGAGTTTGTTCACTTGCGTTCGACGCGTGCGGCCGCTCGGGCCTTTGGCGCCTCGACTGAGCTCCTGCAGTCGACGGTTGATCTTGGCCACGATCTTGTTGCCCTTCTCGGTCAGCTCCTTGATCTGCGCGTGATTCGCGCGCGAGTCCTGCGGTGTCCCAAACAAGGACATTTTCTGTGCAATGCTGCGCGTAAGCTGATTAAAGCTGGAAATGCCCTTGCTGGTCTCCGAGACAAGTTTGCTAAAGCGCTCGTCCGAGACGCTGCCATCGCTATTGCGCGGTGACTGCGAGCTGTGGTAGCGATCGCCCATTGCGTCGAGAGACAGAGAGAGAGGGAGGAGAAACGAAGAGTGGTGACGAGAGAGAGCCGAGCCAACCGGCGTCGGAGGAGCAAGAGCTGGAGTGGCAACAACAACAATCCAGTCAGTGTGGTAACCCCAAGAGCATGATGGACGGTTCTTTGCCAGGAATAACCTGTGCAACTTGATACTGACTTGATGCAGAGGGCTTGGAAAATGTTGTCTTGAATGGTAGCTGAGAGGGAAAAGGGGTCTCGATCGAGCGCAGGCATTACTTACGGTGTCACAACGTCGTGATACAGTCGTCGTTTGAGGGAAAAGGGCACTGGCGGGGGTTCTGTCACGTTGCGCTCGCAGCAACTCGACGTTGTTGTGATATCACGCACGACGGCAGCAACGTATCGGTGTTGAATCCAGCTTTCTAGTGGACTGACGATGGAACAAATGTCATCTGCGCTTCGATGCGTCAACGGGATTACTGGAGAACCACGCGCTGGTCGACAGCGTGCGGTCCAATTGAAAAGCGCGTGATGTGCACAGCTGTGGGCAGCGTCAAATGTGAACGTCTTTGAGGTAAGCTTTGTTTGACCTTTTTGCGGGCAGCTAGCCTCGCCATCTTGACGAGCATCACGCAGCAAATTTCCTTTGATTTGATGCATCAATGCGGCTTTGCTCCACAGAAAATCTGCTGCGACGGGTGTCAACATTCTTACCTCCACTAAGAGGATTGATTGTTAGGGACAACCGTCGTGACATTGTCACGTCAACCGTTCGCATCGGCGGGACGGCAACAATATAGCGTGAGCAAAAAAGGTGGTTCGACTCCGTTCGTTGCTGTGAACACCAAGACTGAATACCGGAAAATCGGCCTTTGCCAGTTGGATGCCATCGCAACTCGCGAACCGCAGTCACTCCAGTATGTGAAGCCTGACTCCACGCATGTCTAGATCTATGCATTCATGAACCAAAGGTACGTCCGGCTCCGGAATCAGCTGCAACAAGTTGATGCATTTGGCGCTAATATTCTAGCTCAGGACTCTTCCGACATCGTGTACGCACTGACTCGTAAAAAGGCGATCATGAAACCCCTCCTCCTCCTCTACAAGAAAGACGGTTTGGTTAGGTCAGTTGTGAAGAAAAGTGTATGCAGTGCTTGACCGATCTACAATCGACTGTAACGGTTACCTCCGTTACGATTTCGGTGCATGATAGACACTCTTGATTGGGCAGCGAATCGATGCGGTAGGGACTGCTGCAAGATCGATCGACTCTCACAGTAGGCTCTTCTTACTTAATCACAACGTTTGGCGCGAGCATCGTTTTGGTTTTGACCAATGATATCGTATGGGTTCAGCGTTAGGGTTTTGTATCCGCTAAAGTACGATAGCTTGGACCCACCCGTGTCTGTCTGTACAAAACGGGAGAAAAACTTCCAGAAGTCCCTGATGTTGCAACTGCTCGACTTACGAAACGCCTGGTTAGTTGTCCATTGCGAGGGATCGCGCGAGCTTTCTTCCACATTGCCCTCATTTCCCTTTCGTAACAGAAAGCAGCAGAGCTACAGAGTCAAAAGTCCGAGGGAGGAAGCGCGTTTCGTAAACCATGGCTTTAAAACGGATCAACAAGGAGCTACAGGACTTGGGACGCGACCCGCCCGCGAACTGCAGCGCCGGCCCTGTGGGCGACGACCTGTTTCACTGGCAGGCGACGATTATGGGCCCCGAAGACAGCCCGTACTCGGGCGGAGTCTACTTTCTGAACATATACTTCCCCGCGGACTACCCGTTTAAGCCGCCCAAAGTGAACTTCACGACGCGCATTTACCATTGCAACATCAACGCGAACGGCGGCATTTGTCTGGACATTCTCAAGGACCAGTGGAGCCCGGCGCTCACCATCTCGAAGGTGCTTCTCTCGATCTGTTCGCTGTTGACGGACGCCAACCCGGACGACCCGCTGGTGCCGGAGATCGCGCAAATTTATAGAACAGACCGCGCGCGCCATGACGCCACTGCCCGTGAATGGACCGCCAAGTACGCCACTTAGAGCACACTAGGAGAGTAGGGAGAGTTGCCGGTCTGTCCACGTGTCTGGTCTCTGCCGACAGACAGACGGGCAGGCGACTGTTGGCCAGATGCTTGGATCGATCGACCGCTAGCGAGGTAGCTAGCTGCGCCGCACACAGTGATGTAGTGGTAGCTGGTGTAGCTGCTGTCGTAGGGCAGAGGCGAGGCAGGGGCCGTGGACAGTGTCGGTAACGAGCACGAAGAAAAATATGCAAGCACGCGAACATTCAGTCTGGGTTCTTCTTGTCTATTCGCGTACATTCGAGTCAGGTGGTGTGGTGAGCGCGGTCGGGACCGATCGAGCGGGCTCCATGGTCCCTTCTTTTTCTTATGATGGAGACAAAGGGAGCGAGAAAGCGATTTTCCGATGGCGGACGACGTACTGAGCTCAGTGTCGACGTGACGTGACGCTGCACTTCCTCTCCCTCTCTGCTCGACACCGACTTTTGCAGCCATCTCTCCCTTTTTGCATCTCGGAAATAGTGGTCGCTGATCTCTTACGATGGGGTGATGTGTGATGTGCGCCACACTACACACGCACGTTCTCCATCATGGACGAGTTCTGCAGCTGGTGCAAGTCGCGACGCTGGTCTTACCGATGTGGGACGTGCGACCCCGGGACAGAAAAGACCTTGTGCGCTAACTGCTCGACTCTGTGGCACTCACGCGGCATTGCGCGTAGTCATCAACTCACGACCAGCGACGGACGAACGCAATCGTTTAGTGCCTGGACGACTTCATCGCCGCATGACGTCGACACGCGTAACGGCAGCGCAGAGGCAGAGGCAAGAGCAGATGAAGGTGTTGCAAGAGGTTTGAATGGGGATCGAGCTCAGGAGGCTTCGGTGGGATACGCAGATGATGTTGAAGTAGCCGTTGCAGGGGGAGAAGTGGCTGTGGAGAATGCAACAATTGCAATGGAAAGCGTCGTGGAGGGTACGGATGTGGATAATTGTGTGGAGGAAAATGAGGAGTGTGATATGGCGAGTGGTGCGGAACGTAGTCGAGAAGACGGCGACGATGCGAGCAAAGAGAGGATGGAGTTTGAGGAGAAGGTGGCGATCGCAGCTGCTGCAGAAGTGGTCAGAGAAGTTAACATCGATTTGGAATTGAAAGAAACAATGGAAACCACCGATCAGAACGGGCAAGAGTTGATGGAGTCACGTGGCTACGATGCCGAGACCGATCCGGTGGTTCCGACAACTTTAGCCGCCCCCGCGCTCTCTCCTGCTCCGCCTTCTACTCTTGTTGTTGATACCGATGACGTACATGAAGCAGCTAGACCTATCCT